TTGAACCATTCTAATCTATTCTTTCACTTCAACCAAATACTTGAACTGATGAAGAGAGAAAAAATGTATTTCAAAGTGGAAATTCATTAACTGGGGAAACAGTTAACAGATACCTTGAAAGCTTGAAGGTCCAGGGACACGACATCAACCTTTTGTGTCCAGTGATGGGCAGATCAGTGTGGCTGCTCTTCTAATTCACATCCCTCTCTCTTCAGCTGCTAGGCTAATCCTGGTAAATTTACCAGAGAAAAAACTTTAGCATGCCCCTATAATAACAGAATTATCCACATCTGAATCTTTAAACACTGGATCTTTACAAAACAAATTACACCACATGCCATAGTTGCCTTTCATTTACTAACGTCATTTCAGTCTGTGACCGATATACCAACTATGCTACCAAAAATTTATATGCACTAAATTAGCACTGAAATACCATGGTAACCACTATTCTCTGTCTGCTGTTTCCCTGACCACAGAGTCTAACAATTCTACAGACACTATTTTCTTCTTGCACCCTGTTGCGTTTTTGCCCTTTTCACATTCATTAATTTCATATGTGTTTTCTCTTCTGGGTATATTGTTTTCTTGTCTTGAGTATAAGATTATATAGTCAGCATAAATATTACTGGTTTACTGTGTGCTGTGTTTACGCTAAGTCCACTTGAGAACCCCTTTATTAATTTTAATTGTCCCTCTCAAGATGAACTTTGGTTTCTTTAAAAACCTGTAAAAAAATTGAAAAAACCCACCGCTTTGGCTTTTCAGCTATCTCTTTTCATCAATCTAATATACTGGTGCTCTGTTTTACTGAGAAATTCCAGAAGATAAAGATGAGTCAAAGTTTCCTGAGGCATAAGAAGTTGTACTTGTTGGGTTTTCTGAGCTAAAATGAACATTGGTATAAAAAAATGCCAAAGTAACTAACTTGATGTAAGTTCTTCCATGTCAGGTAACTAATTTCATGTAAGAATACAATTTTTAGTTTATTATCTAGTGAAATTTTCTCTGACATATATTTCATTAAATACTTTCAGTTAAATGTAAGAAATCACTTTCCTACTATACGGGTAATGAAACACAATCACAGGTTACCAGGAGAGGTTGTGGAGTCTCAGACCTTGGAGATACTAAAAATCTGACTGGATGCAGATTTTGTGAAAACTTATGTAGGTGACTATACTTTGTGCAGAGGGGTTGGATTAGGGGATCTCCTGAAAGGCCGTCTCACCTCAGCTACTCTGTGATTTTCTGAACTGCAAATTCTGTGGAAATACTCTGATTCCAGGCACCAGAGGATAAAACATTGCCTTAGGGGCACCTCTCTGGCCAGCCTTGGTGTTGACCAAGTTGAAGAGAATCATTGCTTAAAAGCAGCTAGCTTTGTTCAAGTATAAACCACCTATCAAAAGGGAGAAAAGTTAGACTAAAAGGGATGTAAAAAACCCAATAAGTAAGATTTAGATTAACTCTTGATCTTTTTTTACTGCTTCAAACTGCATCTCTTTTTCCCATTAGCTCTTCTATTTTCTCCTGTTCCTGGAAAACAATGTTTTTGTCATTTAGACAGCCTTAATGAAAGAAATCTACAGACAAGGCTGCAGAAACAGAAAAGAGGCAACAAAATAAATTGCTTAAGTGGAAAAGAAAACAACCTTTGTTTCCTAAGTTCTTGTTTTTCTATTTATCTCTCTGTGTCAGGCTTTCAGCTGTGTCAGCTCACCTGAATTCTGGCTAAGTTATATAAGAAAGGCAGAGATAAGAGGTCATGGGGTTGTCCAGAGTTGAAGGATGCCCCTCAATAACAGGATGTGCTACTTTCAGGAGCAGTAAGCTTGGGCTATTCAAGCTCAGTACACTATAATACAAAATGTTTTGGAGATTTACTGACCAGATGGAGGTTCACCTCTCCCTACCATATAACCAATGCTATGTAACCAGAAAAAAGTGTGCCAAAGAAGCTATCAAAATTTCAGGAAATGCAGAAGAAGAAGATACAGAGAAAGCCCATAATTTTTAACCTGCTAAGGTCAGAACATGATGTTAGTGAAAAATCAGTCTTGTATTAGAAATTTACCCTAATCTCCTGTAGTCACATTCTTTACTCTGCTTTATCTAATCAAATTTTGCCATCAGCCCAATGATACAAGTGAACAAAAATTAGTGAACAAAAATTAGCTGAATGCTACCTTCACAGACAGAAAAAAAATTACACTGTCTGCATGGAACAGGCAGGTGCTGCTTTCTTTTTGCATTCTTGAAAAGAAATAGATGCTGTGTCATTTATTTATCTATGTAGGTGGCCCAAGAAAGCAATCTGGGTGAGTTTTTTAACTTTGGCTTATCTGGTCTAATTCTCAATAAAAGGCTATACAGATTCCTTAAACTCTGCACGGTACAGTAGGATTTAGTGTAGAAATAGAGAAGGCTTAAGTACAAAGGAGCAGTGTGAGACTGTTCTCACCTATACTAGTATTTACTTACGCTCATTTTACAGGGCTTGAATGTATTTGCAGTTGCAGCTTGACAGGATTTGAGACTGAAACTGGGGAGAGAGGTGATCTTAAGCTGAACACAATATGGAAGAAGAGAACAGAAAGTACTTTAGTTAAAACTTTATTTACATAGTAGGAGGAACAGGGGAGCAAGAGATGGAAAAGAAGAACAATCCTGCATCTGTTTCTATACATGAGAGAGAGACATTCTTCTTCAAAATTGTGCTGCGATTGTTATACTATCAGAAAATTTTCTTTCTACTTAAAATAAAACCAAACAAGAAACAACTTTTAATTAGTACCTTCAGCCTACATCCATTTAAATTATGGTTCAGAAAGTTCTTAAGGCAAACAAAACAATTCAGGTGAAAATCTCCCAGTTTAGTCATGGGTATTTGAACAACAAATAAATTGCAATTACCTTGGTAGATGCTGAATCAGCTTACCAACAAACACTGTAATATTAACTATTTTGAACCAGCCTTTTTCTAAATCAGACGGAGGGACACAAGGGCAGAGCTGATAATATCAAACATTATAAATGCAGCATAATAACACTTCAACTGCTTATCCTCAGATTTTCTGAGGTGTTTCTCTTTAACACACACACATTATTTCCATGCCCATGATGCCTTAAATCCCTAATAGTTTTTTATTTTTCTAATATTTGTAAGACTTGTAAGTTTTATAGGTAGACTCTAAAAGCAGCATCCCTTGTCCCTTCTCCCTATCCCTTTCCCTGTAGCACCTTTGTTTACACATTCCTTAACCCTCTTACCCCATTCTATGCTCCCTATATCAATCCTACTCCTGAATCTAGCAGAGATGTTTAGTCTTTTGTCAAGGTAAGGCCTAGATTGTTGGCAGAACAGCATATCTGGGCCTAAACCACAGAATAGGTCAAGAATTAGGTAACTATGTACCCTTTGTGCTCTGATGATGATGAAGGTGATGAAGTAGGTGGTCCCGAAATGCACCCCAGACCCATTTTCAGGGGGTGGATCCGGGGCGGACCAGAGTAAAAGCCACAGGGTGGACACATCTGGGATTGGATGGATGGTATTATAAAATGTAACCTCTCGGGCACAGGGGCGCGCGTCTTGTAACATCTTAGCCTTGGCAAATAAACCCTTTCTTATCTCACCCCTAATTAACTGCTCTGGAGATTTTTTCACCACCATAAATCCCACGGCAACACCCATTACAAGTTGTTGACAGAAATGTTCTCTGCTGACTTAACTGCATTCTTCTGAAGGTAGGGAGTACTTTGTCCCCTGCATCCAATTTAGACTGTGTCTAATGTAATTGTTCTGCCTCATTTCCACCGGTATAACTTTTCAGAAATTAGGCACCAGCAAACTTGTATTGTATTTTTGATAATATTTGCCCAACAACTTACATGATGGTAAGTGTTTTTCACTACAGTATTAACGTGAGCAGTCATAAAGGTGGCCTGGTGTGTTGGGTCTGGTTGAACTGGAGTTCATTTCCCCATAGTAGCCCTCACAGTGCTGTGCTTTGCCCTGGTAGCTAGAAGGATGTTGGTAGCACACTGGTGTTTTGGCTACTGCTGAGCACAGCATCAGCACTGTAACATTCCTTCCTCAATTGAGGGCAAGACCCTGGGAGGGGACCCAAGTAGGCCAGTTAACCCAAATCGACCAAGGGAGTATTTGAGACCATATCGTGTCAGCTCAGATATAAAAGCTAAGGCAAGGAGCGGGAAGGTGGACATTCATTGCCTCCAGTGGCTGCCTGCTGAGAAACCATTACACGTGCTGAAGCCCTGCTTCTTGGGAGTGGCCAACCATTGCTGCTGATGGGAATAAACCATGCAATCTTTCACTTTGCTTCACTTTTGCTCGTGCAAGCTTCCACTTTGCTTTTGCTTTAAATAAACTGCCTTATCCCAACCCACGAGTTGTTTTTCCACCTTACTCTCTCCCCTGTCTGGTTGGGAAGGGGAGTGACAGAACGGCTGGGTGGGTATCTGGCGTCCAGCCAAGGTCAACCCACCACACCTGGTTAAAAAGATAAAATTACTAACAGAAGAAAATGGCTCCTGAAAAATATTGAGAGAAAAATTGCCTGCCAAAGCAGGAGCTGGAAGTCTCAGAACAAGGCCTGTGAACTAGAAATGTCCTTAAAAACTGCATCTGGTAACTTTGGAGGACAGCTGGGTATCAAGAATCTCTAGACATCCTGAGATACCATCAGTAAGAACAAAACCAAGAAGCTCTAATGACAATTTATCATCTGAAAAAGTAGAAGTAGCCAGGGAAAATAAAATTAGTCTTGAAGAACTGAAAGCATAATTTAATTATCTAATTATTGGCTGTTACAGATGAAAAATCGAAATTAACAACATTATTGACTGCTTGAAGTGGTGTAGTTCTACTCCCTCTTATATCTTTAGGCTATAAAAAGAGCTTCATTTTTACCTAAAATGGAGTTTCTTTCTCTGAGAACTTCTCATTCTATAATTAATTTTCCTTTCCTGAAAAGATTGAATTTCACATGAACTTTTTCTACAAGATTTTGGATGATGACTCTGGACTCTGCGACATGGACCCTCTTTGAAGTGACTCTGTCTCTCTTTGTGTCCACTTTGGTCCCACCTTGGGGTCAGTTTCGTTTGTCCTCACACCTTTGGGATGGTTGGATCCAACTTTGGGACTGATTTATCCTCCGCTTGGGATGGTTTCACCCTTTCTGAAATATACTTCACTTGATACCCCTTCTATATATATTCATAAAAGTAACCTATCATAAGCATATCTGCTTTAATATTGTTGATAAGTTTCTTCACTAATAAATTAATTATAACCTGTAATGTACCTACTTGGTTGCTGTTATTATATTGGTTGTTGCTGTAGTTGATCACTGTCCTGTTATTGATTGACATTGATTAATCATTGATTGCTGATAGTAATTTGTAATAGCTTGATATATTTATATATATTTGCTTTATTGATCTAAGGTATACTTTCTAGTGGTGATTTCTGTGGATTTGTGATAATCTGCAATAAAGTAGAGAAATTTAGAGGATAAAAGCTTCCATGTCTTTGTGTATTAAGAAATCCTATGAGCCCAGTATGGCACTCTTTGCATACCCATAGTCTTAGATCATAACAGCTATCTACATAATTATCCACATCATATATCCATACATTGTATACGACTTTTTTTTCCTGTATGTTGTGTCTTTCTTTACTCCTGGTAAAAAGAGAAAGAAATATTTTGATAGAAACTCACAAATCTACATGGTGAAGCTACATAGGTGAAACTCATCTTTAAACTCCAGATTTGAATTTTGCAGGCTAAAACTTTGATTCAACCCATTACTGACAAGCTGTGCATTTAGGAGCCAGAATTTGATAAGCCTCTCACTTGTATTCTTTTGCTTACTCTTGAAAACAGTAATTAAGTGTAATTACGTGGAAAAAGTGAGGACTGAAAAACGTACACTTGCAAACCTGTCTTTCAAATTACGGTTAAAATATAGATTCTCTGATCCCTTTATTCTCCAAACACAGCAGGAAATTGCAGTGCATACTATTTTGTTCAGTGCAATAGATCTCAGGATAGATGTAGGAAGGATTGTGTTCTATGCAGTCACATTTGTCTTTGAAACACTTTTTAATAGGGGGGTCAAAAATAAAGGCATTCATTGCACATAGAAACTGGCTTGTAGGTTCTAAAAATAAAATGATGCAACTATAAAATCATAATTTTCTGTGTTGATTCTTTGTTTCAACTTAGTTACTCTGTTTCAGAAGTCACTTATTCAGGAATTTTGCTGTGCCATAGGGACAAAATTACTTCTACAGCTTATTTCTCTGTGTAGACAATTACTTATGCTTTATCTTTTCAGTAAAACTGCAGACTTTCAATATGAACTTAGGTATCTATTTCACTTTCTTGCACAAAAAATAAGAAACAGCCTATCTAAATTGTAGAATATGTAAGAAAACATGTGATATTTATAAAGTTTATGTTTTGCTGTTACAGTAGAAATAACTCAAAATATAAAATTACAGTAATTGCATGTTATGATTACATAGGAAATCTATATACAACTAAAAACTAAAGGATTTTATCTACTCCCTTGATGTTGCCTTTGAGGTCTCAATAAAATAGCAATGGACAAAAGCGCAAATGTTCAGAACTTATTTCTTTATAGCTTCTCTGAACTCTTTCTGCCCTTTAAGGAATTGAAGAAGAAAGAGAAAACTTTCATAGAACTTTTCTGTACTATAAAACAAATTCAAAATAACCATGAAGCACCTCTTTCTATTGTGCAATTAAATCCATTTCAAGAAGGAAATCATAAGTTTGGTTTTGCTCTAGGGAAATATATTTTTAATATTTCCACCTCAAATCTTTATTCCACAGATAAAAAAGACAATTTATTCTAGTTGAGGATAAAGTTAAAGCACACATCACAAATTAACAGAATCATCTTACAGATTCTAATATAATCCTACACATAATGAATATTATAGTTCTACATATGATAAATGAAATTAATTCTGATTAAAGACATGGAAGAACAAAAAACTCTACCTGGAATATCAGTAGCAACAAGCTACTGTTTGTTGCTGTAAGCTATCTCTTGTGTACCAATAAAAGTGGCTACTGAGTTCAGCCCAGTTCTGTGAACATCTTCAGTTGGGAATTAGCTTGTGATCAAAGTTTTCAAATATGCATCATTTAAATATCAGATTCTTAAATCCGTAAGGTATTAATTTAGAGAGAGTGTCTCTGATAACCACTACAAATTGTGCAAAACAGTACAAATTGTCTTCAAATCATTTAGCAACTTTATATTTAACTCCAAATTAGAAAATGTTATCAATTACAAATCTGGTTTTGGTTCTTCTGTTTTCAAAATAGTATATTGGCCATAGCTACTGTCATGTGGAAGGTGGGAGTTTAGGTTTTTGCCTGACGGTACCCCCAGAAAAGTTGAAACCCTGGTGTCCAACAGTCTGTCAGTGTCTCATAATGAGACACTTCACCAACAGATTCACAAGGTCAGAGGGTACCTCAACCACCCTTGTTAGGGGGGACTCAACAGATCCTGCCAAGGTGTTATCTGCTGCCAGCAGCTGCAAGGACTCACTTTAACAGTTTATGGAATAACACTTTTTATTAATACAAATTGTGAGAGATTAATAAGGTTCAAAGGTTGTGGGTGATAGTGTCTACTGCAAAAATATGATTAAAGCAATCTACTGATACATATATTAAGCAAGCACAAGCTCTGATATGAAGCAATCTACTAATATGCTATAGGGTAAGCACAAGCAAAAGCTCTAGTCCTAAAACCACATTTAATGCGTGTAGAGCATATTTCTCACCCAAGACATCCTTCTGGGGGAAGGGAGAAGATATGCACAGCCTGTTGATTGATTCTGGCAGTTTCAGTGGAGATCTTCTCCCCCCCAACTTACTTTTATTCTCTTTTCTTTATGTTTGGGTGGAGTTTGAGTGGCTCTAGTCATAAATACCTTTTAATTTTGATTGGTGTACCTAATGGGAGGGGTGGGGGTGGTCATGGCTTGGCACCTGAGGAGGGGATTCCACAGGCCTGTTGGCTTCAACAGCAGAACATCTTGATTCTCCCTTGTCAGACGGGTAATGTAGGGTCTCAGTACCACAACGTTCTCCCATTCTGCTGGGATTAGAATGGAGAGGGGGACACGTAATCTCTACTTCATTCCACACTCCATTCTGCTTCTCTGAGCAGATGTTTATCATTGTATTGGGGAGCATGTCGATCTCAGTCCATCCAGAGAGTTGCAACTGCTTTTTACCCTAAAATTCTGAGTCCCATCTAGGTTTAACTCTATCCATCATCCCGCAACTAATATAAGATTCTATGAATTTCATCATGTATGGTAAATGATTTTGGAAGAGCGTTAGAAAATTGTGTATATGGTGAGAAAAAGTAAATTTTTATGCATTTTTTCTGTCTTGAAGCAGAGCTTTGATATCTGACACAAAGATATCTCTGCTGAAGCATGTGAACACTCAGGTCTGGACAAAGAAGAGTGTGTATGGAGAACTTTACATGCTGAACTACCCACAGTGAATACTAACTACCCATAATGAAGGAGGATCAGTTAGAGAACACTGCAGTAACAGGCATGGAACCTAATGCATCTAAGCTAAAGCTCATCAATGTTATTGGAAGGTTGCTCTCTGGTCCTTGTCAGCTCAAAGCACAAAAGACTGAGGAGAGATGCTATTGCTATATAAAACTGCCCAATAATGGATTGTCACTTGAAATAATGGAGAGAAGACTTTTCTTGGAATTGAATGAATGGTCAAAAGCCAAGAGGCTATGAACACGAATTGCAGCATGACAAGTTCAGGTTAGGCATTAGTAAAAGAGGGTCATCAAACAGCGAAATTTTTTTCTCAGAGAGATTGTGGAGTCACCTACATTGGAGACAGTCAACTCAACTTCATGTGAACCTACGCAATCTGATCAAACTTTGGAATTAATTCTAATTTTTAAGCTGGCCCTGCCTTGACTTGGGGATTGGACTTTGTGATTCCCAGAGATTCCTTCCAACTTGAAGCATTCTAGTATTTTGTGATAAATCTTGGAGTCAGATTTTGAGACATAGCTCATATAGGCATATAGCTTGAGATATAGAGAATTTGAGGCAGAGGGGAACACTGAACGACTAAGCAGCATTTACTTGTATAAAACAAGACACTGTGTGTAGTATTAGAATATTTCTGAAGAAATTGTCTGCTGCCATTATGGATGAAAGAGTGAATCAGAATTAGAATGATTTTTGGGTAGAACTGTGGTTAGCAAGAGTGGTTTCTTTACTTGCTTTGTAATATTTACAGATAGATCTATGTTGTTTCATGCTAAAATAGAGGTTTATCTACATGCCATATGTAAATCTGAATACTGGATTTGTACCTTGTTGACATGATTTATAAATGTTTGATTATAGCTGCAACTAGCTGATGGAAAGAGGTATTTCCTAAGCAACAAATCACTTCATATTTGTGATTTGTGGTAAGAAATAGGCTCAACCTATTTAAGTTCTTTGACAGTAAACATTATCATATGTTTTTCCCTGATGGGTTCATTATTTCAAGTGACAGATTTTGGCATTAACAGCGCACTCAAAGGGGGTTTGAGAAGTCCAGGTAAAAAGCTATTTTACATAATGAGAAATCTTGCAGGATTATGAACAAGATAATTTTCAGACCTGTGTGTGTGAATACTTGTGAATTAACTATGAACTACAGTGACAGCAAAGAGAAAGGTGAAAGTAATTAATTTCCACATGTTCTTGCAGATCAGCTTTTTCTACGCTGTTTGTCATTATGGTATCGGAAGTACACTGACATATCAGAGGCAGAGGTGACTAGCAGAATGATAAGTGGTCTAACATGGAACAGCCATCAGCCTAGCTGAGATCAGAAACTATTGTAAAAACCTGAGAGAGCAGAAGAGGTGATTTTTTGAAATATCTCGGGAAAGCTCTTCAGTGGAGATCTGAAGACATATTTACTTTA